GGGGGGGGGGGGGGGGGGGGGGCTATCGAGTAATCGGGCACTCGAGCAAAAGGGTCCGTGATAGATTTATAGGAAAAACTCGACGACCATGGGAGAACTCGGCTGGGAAATGATTTCGCTAATTCGGGAAATTGACGTAGTGGACGACGAATTGGGATGCCCGTGGCACAACCCAAGAAAAATTTCTCCTGATTCTTCTGAAGGAGTAGGACGGAAGGCAGAGATGCCGGACAGAGGTTAGGTTAGGTTGCTTCTCAAAGACGATGGAGATACGTGTGGCGATCGATGAGGACCAGAACAAGATCCGATTTGCGGATTTGCCAAGGCTCAGCCGAGAATCGAGTGACGATTAATCGATGAGACTGGACGTGCGCAGTTTGAATCGGCTCTGGCTGGCGGTGCTCGCGGTACTCGCGGTGCTGCTGACCGGAGACGGTTTTCAGCTTAAGACGCTTCACTCTCATATCTCCAGCTTTATTGAAATTTCGGGTCTTGACGGCCCCGTTCCACCAACCAGCCAGGATGTCCGTGAGTGATTCTACGATCCGGCTCGCTTCTCCCCCCTCTCATCCAAAGGGCATCAGGACGGGAAGGGTTAAGGACAGTGATAACAGAATGTCCTTCTTCTGGCGATCCAGAGGTGGAGTAGGTCGATGCAGCTGCTGTACGGTCCTGACGTCCACGTGCTGGATGAAAATACCCTGAGGAAATCGGTAGGCAAATCGACGGGAGAAGCACCTGGATACATTATTCAACCGGATAGTTAGGCAATGCTCTCTGGATTAATTTCAGAGAATTAATTTTCATTAGCGACCAATGAAACGTCGGTAATGCCAATGAAAACGAGCGAACGTCGGGAGCAATTTCATGATAACCTCTGTCCAACTAGCCATGTGAATGCACTTTTTCGAGAGTCCAAACGAACCGTAATCGAATTATGGGAAAATGGAATTCGAAGTGCACGGATAATCGAATTTACTTGCGATTCTCTAGCGAACTTTGAAACTTCAATATATGTAGATATAGTCGGCAGATATATACTGTGACGTGATTTTTCGATACACGGTCACAAGGCGATTCCGGCTACCGATACAGATAATGTTCTCGCTTTCTGGTTCCCTTCGGATCGCCGCCCCGATCAGAAGCTACGCTCTTGGATTGATTCGTATAGTTAGGCCAATGCTCTCGGAAGATTTCGTTAAGGTTTAGTTGAGGTCGAGGTGCTCGAATCTGCCGTGGGGAGATAGTCTGGACGTACCGAATTCCCCGGCTGAGGAGAGTACCCGACGGAGACGTCTCCACGGAGTGGCAAAAGTCCGGGTGAGATACCGGCGCCCCGCTGGAGACGGGCAAAGGGCAAACCTCCTGCCCGAGTTAAGGATGCGATGTCCAGCTGTCGCCCGATGCCCTGGGGAAGCGGCCGTGGAGGATCTCCAAAAGTGTTACGTAGCGATTCGCTAAGGAACGCTCTCAATTTAGTTTAAAGGGACGACTCGAGGGAGATGGAAGAGTTATCGGCTATAAGGATTTCGACCAATCAAATGATCAGAATGATTGGTTCTCGAATTTGTCTATTGTCAAGGCAGTCTGTCTCGGGGCACCGACCGAGGTGTCACGAGCTGTCACGAGCTGTCTCGCGCTCCCGTCCTATCTGTTGTTAGTTTTTATAGCTGTGTTTCGCTACGGTATAGAAAGTTCTCGCTCGCGTAGTTCTCTCGCGATATCCCGGAAATTCTATGGGTTTCCCGTGCGTGTTCCGGAGGTGCAGTGTTGTGACCTAGTGCAGTGCCCACCCGAGTGTCCTCTGGATACGGTTCTCGACCTTCTCGGATTAGCTGCACCAGCTCCGGTGAGTACTCCCAATTTATTAATTGGTGAAGGGATTTCGATTTGACAGTTCAGATTCGTTCCGTTACGTTCTCGATCCGTTGCTCCCTGTATCGCGCACTATTTGCCTGATGCTTACTCCGACCCTCTAACTCAACCTAGCAGCATGAGCGGCTGTGCATTTCCGTAACCGTGCGCTCCCGTTCGTGCATCCAGTTGCGTTTGCTGATTTTACGCGACCCCAAATATCGTCTCTTCTGATAGGTTTCGTCGTCAGAGCTCTCGATTTGGTGGAGTAGGGTCTGTTTCACCCCAACTCCCAGTTCATACTAGCTCGTCAGTTTCCGATGAAAAAAAAAGAATTGGCTGGTGCCCTCCTGGCTTGCGGATGCATGAGTGAAGGATGGACGGCCGAAGGTAGCGTAGGTTAGTTCTCGGATTTTTCGCTCTCTGCGTCGAGTTAAGAAAAATACGTTACAATACATATACGCAGGAATTCGTTGATTCGCATTTTTAAATGTAGATATTATAGCAGTTCCTCTTCCGGTGGGCAACTCCTTCGTATTTCTCGCCATGTAAATCGAATGCGAAAGCAGATCCCGTGGGCGGAATATTTCAAAATGAATTCCTGTTTAATTCAAACCCCTGCTTCAAACTCATTCTCTCTCTCTCTCTCTCTCTCTCTCTCTCTCTCTCTCTCTCTCCCTCTCTCTCTCTCTCTGTTTGCCTCTGCTTCTTCCCTTCTCTCGTGCTGTCTCCGAGTCTCTCTATACAACATCCAACTCCCACGCGCTAGCACTTCCGTTCCCCAGAGAACCCCTGTTAAATAAACCAATTAATAATTATCACATAGCCAGTCGTGCCGGAGCCCTGAACGGCGGACTGCTTAACTATTGTCCGGACTGTAGCCGGGTTGGCCTGGGAAACTCAGAGGGAGGGAAGGGTTAACGAAGACCAGCGGCTGATCTAGGCAAACGGTCCCTTCAATTTCTCATTTCAGCCAACTAAGTTATCCGTGCGAGAATAGCTGTGATTATAAGGATTCTTTATCTGCGGCGAATCTCACCTATGGGTCGCCCCTTGACATTGCCAATATTTGTGCAGCCACTGCGTGACTACCATGTTTCAGCATATGAGAAAAGGGGCTAACGCATTAGCACTCTTGCGAGCTTATGAATTTATTAGCAAGTTAAAAAAATAAAGAAGAAGTGTCACTCGCCGAATCCGCCACCCTGGCTCGTTGTTTGTTCTTACTCGACACAGAGTTCGCAGCAGCCCTGGAATTTATTGCAGTTAGTTTTCACTAGGATGATTCACGTAGCACTCACGCGAGTTCACGTACGTTGCGCTTCCGTCTCCTTTGGGCATTCCTCCACTGCAGCTTTGCATCGGTTCATAACATTTTACCGGAAAGGACAAATACAAGATCGGTTTGAAAAAGTGTCGAAAATTCATTAGTTTATAAGCGCGAGGAGAAACGCGTCGCGGACA